GCCTGCATGGTGCAGTGATCCTTATCAACCTCCCCCGAAGACCCCAGGGCTCGGTCAGGTCGGGGACAGCAGACGCACTGCCTCTGTGGAGCCTCCCAGACACTGCCTCCACCGTCGTTTCTCTCCAACTCCGGCGAACTGCAGCTTCAGGAGTTTAAATATGTCTTGGTTCTTGGAAACAGGGACATCTGCAGGGAAGTGCCGTCAGTGGACAAGCAGCTTGTCAATGGAGATGGCCCTAGAAGGAGGGGCAGGGAGGTCAGATAACGCTCATGCTCTTTGGGGTTCAAGTGTCCAAAGGCAGTCTTCAGAATTAAGGCCTTTGAGGGTCGTAATTGCCCCACACAATTGACCCACGGACATCTGTGAGCCCAGCCACGTCACAGCGAGCAGGCCCCTTCCTCCGGTGTTTTAACCGCTTTGGGATTTCAGAACTGTGACTGATGAAGAATGGGCAGAGTATGTTGTTGGGAGATGTGATACTAATACTAATTAATAAGCTTGGGTTAAGTTCCTTTTTTTCTCTCAAGTAAGCTGGCATGTTTGGTCAACACCAGATTTGCTGCCTGGAAGTTTTTTTCATTTTGTTGCTCTGAACAAGGCCCCCAATTCTTCCGAGGAATAAGAGAACCTCTCTGTTGGGTATACAGCTTTCAGTTGGCGAGAGAAAACACAAAACCCCACTCCAGCCTCCAGACTTGTTTACACAGAAAGCTGAACCTGTGGCTGGCTTAGCTCAGCGGCCTGTTGGGGCTCTGCGGCCTGCAAGCTGCCTTGGGATCTCTCCCGACCAGGCACAGCACACCTTGGCAACAGAACCTTACTTTGGAAAGAGCTGATTTGGAGAAAGGTTGGGTGACCGCTGTGCTGGGTCAAGCGTACTGCTGAGGACAGGACATTCAGTTTGAGGAGATAATGACTCTCAGTGCAGCCTTTATTTCCGAAGGGCAAATGAAACTACAGAGAAGCTCGGACGTCAGGGGGGGCAGGAGCTACCTGGGTCGTCTCAGCCGGGCTCCGCCCACCCCACGCATACAGTTTGGCCCAGAGGAAACACAACCACCAGCAAATCCCTCCCTCTACTCCTGCCTCTGATGTATGGGCAGCCTTGGAAGTCCTAATGAGCTTCACTTTGTACACTAAATTTGCAGAGACATCAAAAAGTATTTAAAAGAAAGTTTCCTTCTTTTTCCTAATGAGTAAGGTGAGGATTTATGGTGTGTGGGGAGGAGGGACTCTGGCTGCCAGGGCAAACACAGAGGAAAGTCCATTTAACATACTCTAACTTAAGCTCCCTCCTTGGGGCTCAGAGTATAGAGACACGCAGTTAGGGAGTGAAAAAACGCCATTTGGTTCTGAGCAGATGGCTGGCTAGAGGGCTGATGGCGTCTAAAGGCGTGTCATCCCCCTTCAGCTCGAGTCCCTAAGGGCTCCCCTTGTCTTCCCAATCAATGAAAATTAAAGTGCAAAGGAAGGATGAATAGTTGGACCTCGAGTCTCTCCTTTGTTCATCCCAGCTACTGGTGCGCAGGAGTTAAACTACAACAGGCCCCTATAGAAACACTGAAGTTAAACAGTCTCCTGGTTAGCTCAGCTTTTGAAAGAAAGACGGAGAGGAACAGACTTGGGCTGGGAGGGGGGTGGGAGTAGGGGGTGTGGAGAGAGAGAGAGCCAGGGAGGGAGAGAGGGAGAGAGAGAGCGAGGAAGATAGAGAGAGATGGGGGTAGGAATGGGGGGGGGGAAGAGAATGAACAACAACAAGAACAAGAAGAAAAGGGCTTTCTGCTTGATTTCCCCAATACAGAATCGCGTGGCATAAATTAAGTTGGAAAAGAATGAGCGTTTTGGGCAGCATTCTGATGGATTTTACGATGCCTTTCAGTTCCGCTTTGCCGCGGTAATCGAGAAATCTGTGCCGTGTCAATTTAACAAATACTTGATACCGAGGGGGTTGTTAAAGACTTTCCCCCCTTCTCTCCGTCACTCTGAGGTTTAAGCTCTTGCGCGTAGAACTTTTTTCGAAACAGGCAGTCAAATGAACCTGCGTCTACTTCTATTTTGTAATTAAAAGATTCCTGTTATTTCATTTCTTCTCAGAAACCTTGGCGCCTCCCAGACCCCATCCCTCCCCGCCCCCACACATTCAGGAACATCTCCGCACTTGTAGGCTCAAACATTCGCTTTCAAAGGAAACACTGACGTGGTAAGAAAGGATGCTGACGCTAGGTGGCAAGAGTAAATTAGGATTCGCTCTGGTCCAGGCTGAGGTGATGGTCCAAGCGCTGCTGAGCCGGGATCGCAGAGGCGCAGAGGTGCGCGTGGCATCTCTAGAAGCATTCGTCCGTTTGGCCCCAAGCTGGGCGCGTTCCCCTTGGGATGGCAACCCTTAGATTCTGCTCACAGCTCCCTTTCTGGGAGGCAGCTACAGGGTATCCACGGCTTCTTGAAACTTGGAAGCTATCTGGAGAAAGGAACGGGACCGAAGGAAGTCCTTAAAGAACGGCTGTGGAATCTGGCCGCAGGTGCCTGGGAACCCCAAGGGACCGCCACCTTCACGGAATGATGCCGGAAGTGGCTGTTTTCCTTTCTTTCCCCCTACTGTGCTGTGCATTCTAGGAGTCCTTGATCAAGACAACAGCTTCAGTAAAATGAGTATTTTGCCATGGAAACAACGTTTACGCCTTAAAGTGGTCAAGACAGCGTGTTCAGAGTTGCCCACAGCACTTGGACTTAGCCAGGGCTGATGACCCACCACCATCACAGCGACGTACACATTTGGCTCTCAATGAAGCTGGCGCAGACTCTGGGCGCAGGGAGGGCTGGGGAGGAGGGGTGGGAACGAACCTTCAAAGTCCCCCAGGGCCAGTAGCTACATTAGCAGTCGCTGCCTCAACCTTCCTGCCTTCACCTCGGCTGCAAAGCTGGAGAGTCGTTTGAGTGATAGGTGTGTGTCCAACCCTGCCAATAAACTATTTTCCTTTTAAAAAATACAAAGTTGTGGTGCTGATGGACTTGTGTGAAAATAAGCGAGCGCGGTGCGGGGCGGTGGGGGCGGGGCGCCAGGCGCGGGCAGCGCATTGTTGCGGCGGCCGGGCGTGCGCCAAGGGGGGCTCTTTCTCCGCGCGCATTGTGCGGGAGCAGGTGCTGGCCGCATTACCATACAGCTGAGCGCACAAAGGCCCACTGATTCAGCCCGCCGCACAATAACAAACTGCCTAATGACAGCCACGCGAACGACACACACCAAACTCACTTTTTACCAAGCGGAGGGGGGAAAGGACCCTTAGTGAGGGAAGCCGAGGCCCACGAGGACGACGAGACGGTGCGAAGACTGTACCGGGAAGCTGTGTGCAGGGACAGGCCCAGAGCTGCCAGCAGCCAGCCTGGGGACCGCCGGAGCACTGCACTGCGCGCCCGCTCCGCTCTCTTGCCGTCAGCGTCCTCCAGGGTCGCCCTCTCCACCAGGGGGTGTGTCAGTGCCAGCTTCCCCAATTTCCAGACCTTCCAGAGCCTGCGACGGCGGACGGCCTCGCTTGGCCTTCGGACCAGCCGCTCGCACCTCTCCAGCAGTAGCCCCAGCCCTGCCGCCAGCTGGCAGCTTTATTCTGGGAAGGCCACACTGGGCAGGGGAGCAGAGTCACCCCGACTCCGGCCCTCTGGGACTTAGTCCCTGCCCGGCGCCCGCCTAGAACAGGGAAGGAGCGGGTTCCCCACCGCTGGACGTCGGTCTGACAGAAGTTGGACTCTGTGTGGCTGCTGAGAGGTGTTCGCGCGCCCCTGTGTGTCTGTGTTCGTGTTCGTTTGCACCGGGCGCGCGCGGAGGGCGCGGGCGCGGGTGCAGGGAGCTCGGCTTTGGGGCGACCAGCGTGTGCGGAGTATCAGCGCGCGCGCGGACACCAGGTTCGCGCACGCGGACACCAGGGTTCGGAGGCATGTAAATGAGTGCGCTGCGCGGGGAGGGCGGGGGCGGGGCAGCGCGGAGGTGGGAGCGGTGGGGGCGGGGCGGGGCCGGGGATTGCACATTTTACAGCTCACTGACCATTTGGCGAGCCATTGAGAGGAGGGTTTGGAAAAGTGGCTCCTTTGTGACAGCTCTCGCCAGATTGGGGGGCTGCTAATTTGCATCTCATTAGACATGCGGGCGGCCCGCGGCATATAAGGACTGCGGGCGCCGGCGGGACGCAGATCCGCCGCACTTGCTCCCGGAAACCTGGCCGGCCGCGCAGGGACCAGCCTCTCAGGGACCGCTCGAGGACCAGCCAGCGCGGCGTCCCCTGTGACACTGGTCCCTCGCTGACCCTGTGTACCTCTGGGTAGATTCGTGGAAAAGACGCGTGTCCTCTCTGCGGCCTTGTGAAGGCCGCCCAAAGTGCTGCCGGAGCAGCCGCGCGCCCGAGCGGCGCCCGAGTCGTGATCCGCTGGGCGCACACGCCCGCGCACCGCGGAGCAGCGGCAGCCGCCGGCCTGCGCACCCCGAAACCGACCGCTCGTCCCGCCACGGCGCCCGCCGCCCACCGTTCCGCCCGCTCCCGGGGCGCCGGGATTATCGCCTGGCCGCAGGGATTCCAGGATCGCCGCGTTCTAATCGGCCTGGGAGGCCGCTCGCAACGCCTGGGAATTAAGCTAAATATCTGCGCGCTCCCTCAGCCCTTTGATTGCTACTGTGAGGAAGCCGGAGCCCAGACCAGGAAGAGGACGCAGAGCCGCTCCGCGCGCTGGAAGAGAGGGAAGAAAACCGAAAGTTGCGCCCTGTGAGCGCTCTGCCTCTGCCCCGGAGAGCGGCCACCCCGTGCAGTCGGCCGCCGGGAGGCGACTCTTCTGGGACCAGCCAAGGGGAGAGGCGAGGGGTGCCAGTCCTACTTTTCCCTCTGCCTCGGACAAAACACCAGCGTTTCGCCTGTGTGCTCTTCTGGAAATCCCTCCACCCTCCATTAATCGTTTGTCGTTTTAAGAAGAAAAAAAGGCAAACAGACAGGGGAAGGGAGCGAGCTGAGCCCGCCATGGGCCGTCCGTGCGCGCTAGCCCTCGCCGTGGTCTCGGCCTTGCTATGTCAGGTGGGTCACCGGGGGCTGGTGTTCAGATGAATGTTCCGGGGCCATCGGTCTTGGCCGGGTACTGGGCCCTGCTGTGTCTGCAGAGGCACCTGGGCCTTGCTGTGTCAGTTTCTAGTGGGTCGCCCCTGAAACTGCCGAGCCAGGTAGGGGCACCCAGCATGCAGGCCCACACAGGCGCAGAGCCCAGATAGCGACAAGGCTGGAGCCGGACAGGCCTAGCAGATTGGTGGTGGCAAAGCGAATCTGGGAGAGGCGAGCCAGTGGGCAGGTTCCGGGCGATGGGTGCGCCCAGCCTGGAGACCATGGCCCTTCTCCTGCAGGTCTGGAGTTCAGGGGTGTTCGAGTTGAAGCTGCAGGAGTTTGTCAACAAGAAGGGTCCCCTGGGGAACCGCAGCTGCTGCCGCGGCGCCGCGGGAGGCACGGGACCACCACAGTGCGAGTGCAGGACCTTCTTCCGAGTGTGCCTCAAACACTATCAGGCCAGCGTGTCCCCCGAGCCACCCTGCACGTATGGCAGCGCCATCACACCGGTACTGGGCGTCGACTCCTTCAGCCTACCTGATGGTGCGGGCAGCGGCCACGCGGCCTTCAGCAATCCCATCCGCTTCCCCTTTGGCTTCACCTGGCCGGTGAGTACCCCCGCCGGGCCGAGGGGTCCTGGAAAAGGCCTAGAGCCCCAAATTCACAACACCAAGGCACGTCCTCTCGGGGCTCCCACGCTGGCACAGGGAAAGGAGCCCCCTCCTCGCCCCGTCCCTACCTGGGGCTATTGGTAAAGGTGCCAGGTGACAAGCCAAAGCTTCCCTTCTGGTCGCCCCCTCCCGCCTCTCCCTCGCGTGGGTTTAGACTCAGAATACTGAGGCCAGCTGTTCCTGGCCCTCCCTCCCTCCCCAGCCCCTCTGGTCTCTCGCAATCTTTCCTAAAGCACAATATCCTGTATATCTGGCTGAGAAAACATGGCAGGAAGCCACTCTTGAAAAAGTTCTTCCATTCCCTTAAGGGAAGTGAAAACAGGCAAAAAGATAACCCTCCTAAGGCCCTTCCTCCTGCCACCATGCTGTCACTGTGGTCGTGCTGTTTGGGACATTTCTGGTTTCTGTCATGCAGGGCACTTTCTCTCTGATCATTGAAGCTCTCCACGCAGACTCTCCTGATGACCTCACAACAGGTAAACAAAGCTCCAGGACTTTGTACCTTGAGCTTGTTCTTCCACCCCCCCTCCAACAGCAAACCTTCCATCCTGCATGTCCACTCATATAGTTCAGGAGGACAGTGAAGTGCTGCCCTCACAGATGCTCCCTGCATCCCATCCCACCTCCTGCTTCCCATCCCCTCACCTCCACTTCTGCCCCACAGAAAACCCAGAGAGGCTCATCAGCCGCTTGGCCACTCAGCGGCATCTGACGGTGGGAGAGGACTGGTCCCAGGACCTGCACAGCAACGGGCGCACAGACCTCAAGTACGCCTACCGCTTCGTGTGTGATGAGCACTACTATGGGGAGGGCTGCTCTGTCTTCTGCCGCCCACGAGACGATGCCTTTGGCCACTTCACCTGTGGGGAGAGAGGAGAGAAGGCCTGCAACCCTGGTTGGAAGGGCCAGTACTGCACAGAGCGTGAGTCCCCTCCCCAGCAGAGTGGTGGGACACTGGGGGGCATCTGTGCCTAGCTGAGGGCAAAGTGCCTTGAAAGTTCCCCAGTTTCTAATGTGTTATAACATTTGGATGTTATAATCTCCCAAGAGGCTTATCCACCATCAGAAGTGGCCTTTCTTAATCAGGGATTGTTTCACCACCGGGCCAGGGTCAGGAACTCAGCCTGCTCTACTGGCCCAGGGTGTGGATAGCAGGGTGGAGGAGAAGAAGGAAGGAAGGAAGGAAGGAAGGAAGGAAGGAAGCAGGGAAGCAGGGGAGAGAGAGAGTGTGCGGGAGAGGTGGATTCCAGAGCTCAGAGCAGATTCTGCCCAGACAGCCGCTCCCTGGGTGTTCTCTCCGAGTGGCTCTGTGGTGGCCTTGACTGTCCAGCTCTCCTTGGCCACATCCCTGTCTTATGTACACACCCATGCTGCTTTGTGCACACAAACACATACATAGACTGCAGCAATGGGGGCACCCAGGAAGGCCACTGTTGTTGGCGTCATCTATGGACAATGTCCACATGGACAAGCACTTTTGTGGCCTAGGGGTGGGAGGCCTGTCTGCAGTCATGGGCTGTCTGGGCTCTTTTGCCTATTCAAAGGTGTGCAGGGCAACCAGCTTGGATGAGGGATGTGTCAGTGGTGAAGCCAGGTTTTTCTGTCATCTTCCTAGGTACTGAAATGTCACAGGTCCTCAGAGGAGGGTTTGTGTTACAGGAAACAGCCTGGGTAGGGGTGGGGCTGGTTGAGCTTCAGGGGGCTTCCATCTTTCTGGGCCCACAGGCTCCCGAGTCTCCATTCTCTGGGTGATCAGGAGTCAGAGGGTCCCAGAACTCTGTAGAACTCTGGTCAGAAGGAGTAGTTGAGCTGCCAGCTGTCTTTTAGGCCGGGAGGCATGACCTAGGAGGCACAGGGCCTGGTCTATCTGAGCTAGTCTTCGTGCCCCTGGTCCCCAGTCCAGGAGCTATAGGCCCTGAGTCTGCTCAGCACAGCCCCTTTTTAAGCCCAGCATGGTCTGGTATTGGCTTTGTCGCATTAAACACTTGGACTGGTTGCTTAAGGCGTTTCATAACCAGGCAAGTGAACCAGCGCGCCTGGTCCGGCACCACCCTGGCTCTTCTCCCTCCCCTGTTGCTGGCTTTGCCCACCCTCTTTTGGGCAGCCATAAACTTCAACTTTCCTTCTTATTCAAATACTTTCCTGGCCGCTCCCCGCCCTGCCGCGCGTGCCATAGATTAGCTCTCTCAGGGCCTGGCCTTCGTGCTGCTGAGGCGCACGCGTGTGCGCGTGTGCGGGTTTTCGGCCGCACAGAGGGGGTCGGGGGAGGGGAGGCCGCATTGTGGCCCCGGGGCAGCTGCTGGGAGAGCGCAGACAATAGAGCAGCTGTCCTGCCCGGCACTGCACACCAGCTGTCCACTCTTATCTACACACACTTTCTGGGATATGAAGAGGTGGAGCTTTGTGCTTAGAACGGGGAAGTGGGGGGAGGGGCAGAGGGGGAAAAGACTTCTGACCCTCAGAGAAGAAAGGGGGTAGGTGGGGGTGGGAGCTTTGAGCCCTCTTTTGTCCTTGTGCAACTGTATTAAGAAGAATGCTGTCCTGAGGGCTGAGTGCGGGCAGCAGTTACCAGGCAGTGTGGATCAATACTTCACCAGATTGGGGAGATTAACTCAGCCGGGCTGGTCACAGGGTGCCTCACTGCCTCCTCTCCTTGCTCCCAGCGATCTGTCTGCCTGGCTGTGATGAACTGCATGGGGTCTGCGACCGGCCAGGGGAATGCAAGTGAGTTTCCCCAGCTCTCTGGTCCTGCTCCACAGCTAGGGTGGGAGTCTCTAGGGGTTGAAGCCAGTGGGTGAGCTGGGGTGGGGCAGTCCTCTCCTGGGGTTTTCACTGGACAGATGTGTGGGATTCTGTAGGGGCTTGGGGGTCACACCTGAGTGAGAAGGCTGACACAGAAAGAGTGCTCCTCTCTGAGGTCCCAGCAAACTGCTGACTGATAAACCTGGGTCGAGTTGACAGATGGGCCCCCAGCTGCACAGCATGCCTGGACTCCGAACCCTGGGGGATGTGCCAAGTTCCTGAGTCCAAGCCGGCTGGAACAGCACCTAGTGGGTGCTGCTGGACAATGGTTTCTCATCTGTGAGGCCTGGCCTCTGCATGACAGTGGGTCCTGTCCTCCAGGTGCAGGGTCGGCTGGCAGGGCCGCTACTGTGACCAGTGCATTCGGTACCCGGGCTGCCTCCATGGCACCTGCCAGCAGCCATGGCAGTGCAACTGCCAGGAGGGCTGGGGTGGCCTCTTCTGCAACCAAGGTGAGCACTACCCCTACCCTGCCTCCCACCTTCCCCACGTGCTGGCCTGTGCATGCTGGCAACTTTGGCCAGTCTTCCTTACCGAGCCTGTGTCTCACCTGCCTACAGATCTGAACTATTGCACCCATCACAAGCCCTGTGAGAATGGAGCAGCTTGCACCAACACGGGCCAGGGCAGCTACACCTGCTCCTGCCGACCCGGGTACACGGGTGCCAACTGTGAGAGCGAGATCAACGAGTGTGACGCAGGCCCCTGTAAGAACGGAGGAAGCTGCACAGTACGTAGTGGTATAGCTGACCCGACCCAACCCTGGATGGGGCCCCTTTAGAAGCTTCTGCGAGCCTCCAGGCGTGGCTTTAGGAAGTGTATTCTGATCTCCTCTGTTATGCAGGACCTCGAGAACAGTTACTCCTGCACCTGCCCACCTGGCTTCTACGGCCAGCACTGTGAGCTCAGCGCCATGACCTGTGCCGATGGGCCTTGCTTCAATGGGGGACGATGCTCAGACAACCCAGACGGGGGCTATGCCTGCCACTGCCCCGTGGGCTATACCGGCTTCAACTGTGAGAAGAAGATTGACCACTGCAGCTCTTCACCCTGCTCCAATGGTAAGAGGCAGTCGGTCTGGCTGGCTGGCGTGATCTATTAATATGTTCATTTGTAACTGAAAGATTGGCAGTTCAGTTCCAATCAGAAATGTATCTGGGAAAAAATGCCAAGTAGCAGGCTTCTGAAAGCCAGCCATGGAAACCCCATGGGCACTGTCATACACACGGCTTGCTGAGAGTCAGAGTTGACTTTGGAGACGGGTTTGGTGTTTTGGGTACCATGGCTTTGTGAGGAAGCTTTGTCCTGCTGAGACAGAGGCTCTACTCTGGTTTTCAAACCCACCAGCGGCTCCTCTCCCTGTGGTTCAGTACTGTTGCATCGAGCACTACTCATAGTGATCCTATGAGCAACAGATCTGAAGCCTGTCCTGTCCTGGGCCACCCTCATCACCTCTGACACATTTGAGCCCATTGCTGCCGTCACTGGGTCAGTCCATCTCATTAAGAGCCTTCCTTTCTTTCATTGACCTCCCACTTTTCCTAACAGGATGTCTCTTTTCAAGGAATAGCCCCTTCGAGCAACATGCCCAAAGTGTGAGATGAAGGTTTGTCAACTTTGCCTTTCAGGAGCATTGTGGTTGCACTTTCTCCCAAGACATCTGTTTGTTTTTCCTGGCACTCCATGGGATATTCTGTTCTCTTCTCCAGCACCACAACTCAAAGGCAACAATTCTTCTTCTGTCATCACTATTCATTGTCCAGCTCTCAGACACAAAGGAAGTGATTGAAAAGATTTTGAGTTCTACAGCTTCCCAGAAGCCCTCTGACGGGTCAACAAGAAGTTGACTCAACAGTTTGCATGTTTTAGTGATCACTTTGTGAGGAGCTTTGAGACCTGATTCTGCTGAGCTCTCTGTGGAAACTTTGTCCTGGGGTCCCCACTTTCCAGCAGGGACAGATGGACAGGATCTGCAATCTCTTTTTATGCTGAAAGAATCTTGGGGAGATCGTGAAGTGAATACTTGAGTTGACATGGTTTCTGGGTGCCTGGTACCCTGCCTGCCCTGTAATGCTACTTGCTCATGCTCACCCCCCCAGGGCTGTGGGGGACATGGCTGTGGCGTACTGCTTCCATATCTAGTGTCTAGGGACAGGTGAGGACTGGGGGCAGGTGTGTCCTGCTGACAAGGTGCTTCCTATGGCCATTGGAGGAAGCTCGTGGGGCCTGTGGACAGGCTTGGCCCTGATACTGTGGGGTCTCCTCCTTAGGCATTTGTAGAAGAAGTGTGACTTTGCTTTCAGTGTAGAAGATGATAGCAGGACTTGTGATCAAATGCTATCTCTTGTTTGTCTCCACTTACGCCAACAAGGACTATGTTTTCTATTTAGAGGCAGGGTGGTGTGAGATTTTAGAAAATCTGGCATGAATGGGAAGACCTGTCTGACCTTTCTCCTCTCACCTCCTGTCTTCCCTGGCCGTGTCACCACGGTAGAGCCTCTGGAAGCTGGGTCTACGAGACCCTTTTTGGTTCTTTGAAGGCAAGTAGACAGTGTCTGCATCTGTCTGTTGCTGTGTTCAGTGCTTGTCAGCACACACCTGTCAGTGCACCTGCAGTCACTGCTCAGGTGATTAACTTTACCTGGTGAGCTGGACTTGGAGTCTCCACAGTGGGTTAATAATCGGCCAGATGGCATATTCATCAACTATAAACTCGGCAAGGTCAAAGGCTGTCTTTCATTTGTGGGTCTGGGTCTTTTGGGTCCTCATCCCTGGAAGAGGTGTCAGCAGGTTCCAGACAGTGAGTGATGTGTTCCTCTTATGTTTCAGGGGCACAGTGTGTGGATCTGGGCAGTTCGTACGCATGTCGGTGCCCTGCTGGCTTCTCTGGGCGCCACTGTGATGGCAACATGGATGACTGTGCATCGCTGCCCTGTGTGAATGGTGGCACCTGCCAGGATGGCATCAACGATTACTCCTGCACCTGCCCCCCAGGATACACCGGCAAGAACTGCAGCACCCCCGTCAGCAGGTGTGAGCATGGGCCATGCCACAATGGGGCCACCTGCCATGAGAGAGGCCGCCGCTACGTGTGTGAGTGTGCACGCGGCTACGGCGGCCCTAACTGCCAGTTTCTGCTGCCCGAGCCGGGGCCAGTGGTGGTGGACCTCACCGAGCGCTACCTGGAGGCTCAGGGCGGGCAGTTTCCCTGGATCGCGGTCTGTGCCGGCGTGGTGCTGGTTCTGCTGCTGTTGTTGGGGTGCGCGGCCGTGGGTGTTTTCATGCGACTGAAGGCTCAGAAGCGGCAGCTGCCAGGTGACGTGTACCGGGCGGAGGTGGAGACCATGAACAACTTGGCCAGCTGCCAGCGCGAAAAGGACGTGTCTGTTAGCATCATTGGGGCCCCACAGATCAAGAACACCAATAAGAAGGCGGACATGCACGGTGACCATGGCGCTGACAAAGGCGCCTTCAAGGCCCGCTACCCGACCGTGGACTACAACCTAGTGCAGGACCTCAAGAATGAGGACCCTGACAGGGATGCCCACAGCAAGCGCGATGCCAGGACCGAGCCTCATGGCTGCGCCACACTCAGGGGGTGCGTGGGGCACTGGCTGGGGGTGGGATCATGCATGAGTCCCAGGGCACAGGTGGGTCAGACGTGGGTACAGACGCATCCTGGGGTCCTCTGTGCCCCTCAATGCACTGGGATCCTGTGGTCTTCTTTACTCAAGGGGTGTGTGGGCTTTGGACAGGAGGAGGAATGAGATGGGGTGCAGGTGGGATGGGCACTGATGAGTCCAGGGCTGGGCAGGTGGGCGGGCCAGGTAGGAGTGCTCTCTAGCTCACGGCTTTTTCCACTTTGCTTTGCTGTGCTTACGGGGTGCGTGGGGCTGGTGGAGTGCCGATGGGTCCAGGGCTTGCCATGAGGGGTGGTGCTCCTCAGCTTACGGGGATGCTCTGGTCTGCTGTGCTCAGGGGTTGTGCAGAGCACCGAAGAGTATCCTCTGCTTTAGGGGTGGTTAGGATGCAGACATGGCGCAGTGTGATGCAGATGGGTCCAGGGCTGGGCACGGATAAGGGTGGCTTCCAACTCACAGTGACCCTACCCCCTGCTCTCTAGTGGGGAAGCGGCGGAGAGGAAAAGGCCAGAATCCTCATACTCCTCGTCCAAAGACACCAAGTACCAGTCGGTGTACGTCATCTCTGAGGAAAAGGATGAGTGCATTATCGCGACTGAGGTTGGTGTAGGCTTGTGTCGGGATGTTGGGGTCTAGATAATGGGGTGTAGTGTGTAGCTCATGTTGGGGGATCTGGGCATCAGGACTTGGTACCAAGGTTTTGGGGGACCTTGGTGTCAGGGCTTGGTGTCAGGGTTGGAGCATTGAGGTCCGTGTTGGGGTGTTGGGACTCATTTGAGGGTCTGGGCTTCAGGGTTTGATGTTGGGGTGTTTGGATACCTGAGCATCAGGGCTTGGTGTTGGGGTGTTTGGATACTTGAGCATCAGGGCTTGGTATTGGCTCACTTTGGGGTGGACATCAGGTCTTGGTGTTGGAGAACTAGAACACTGAATCTTGTGTCAGAGTGTTAGGGAGTCAGAGTTGGGATTTATGTCGGAGTGTTGGGGTGTCTCTACATCAGGACTTGGTGTGGCTTAAAACACTCATGGTGGGGTTGGTGTGTTGGTGTTGAGAATCAATGTCAGAGTTTGGTCAGTGGGGTTTGATGTGGGACTGTGTTGGAGTGTGAGGATGTCGGGATATAAATCCTGAGTGTTGGGGTGCTGAGGTTCTAAGTAGGTCTTGCATTGAGGTGTCTGGGTTTTGCTTGAGGTAGTGGGGTTCATGTTTGGGCTGTAGGGTTTGGTGTCAGTGCATTGGTTTCAGTCCTGGGGCCCCATGTGGAGGCCATGCGACTTGGCACCAGGCTCAGTGTGGAACCTCTGAGATGTCACTGCACACTGTCAAGGTATTGGGGTTGGTATAAGGGCTCCACGTGGGGTCTAGTGATGGAGTTTGATGCAAGGGTTGGGACAGGGAACTATGATGCCAGGACTTGGCACTGGGGTTCATTCAGAACAGGGCCAGGTGAGGGGGTTTGAGTGTTGGACTGTCAGGATTCCATGTGGGCCTTGGTGATGGAGTCTGTGTAGGGACTTGCGTTGGGTCTCAGTGTGGGGGTACCAGGGCATGATATTTGACTTGTGACTGATCTTCTACTTTCTTGGAGATGAGGATGATAGAGAACCCAAGAACTGTATGTCTATATCCTCAACACATCTCCCTTCTATCCTGCGATTTCTCTAGGTGTAACATGGAAGTGATATGGCAAAATTCCCATTTCTCTTAAGATACATAGAATTCCAAGGATATATGCCCCAACGGATGCTGCTGTAAGAAGAGAGGGAGGCCCCAGACTGCTGCTGAGAAACTAAATTCAGACCGAGCTGGTTCTCTTCCTGAAGTTAGCAAGCGCCTCCAGCCGCCCGCCTGGGCCCACGGCGCCTGTTGCACTGCTCTGACTTTCCGTTGCACTATGGACAGTTGCTTTGAAAAGATTTATATTTAATGGACGGACTGACTGACGACAGACACACGCACTGCCTGAAGTGTATATTTTGGATTCTTATGAGCCAGTCTTTTATTGAATTAGAAACACAAACACTGCCTTTATTGTCCTTTTTTTGATACTGAAATGTGTTTTTTCTAGGTGGAAAAAAATGTGTGTTATTTTCTGGATTTGTAAAAATATTTTCATGATATTTGTAAAGCTTGAGTATTTTGTGATGTTCATTTTTTATAATTTAAATTTTTTTTTGGTAAATATGTACAAAGGCACTTCAAGTCTATGTGACTATTTTTTGTATATAAATGTATTTATGGAATATTGTGCAAATGTTATTTGAGTTTTTTACTGTTTTGTTAATGAAAAAAGGCCTTTTTAAAATATTTTTCCAAAATAAATACTATGAATGATAACCAGAGATGGCTTTATGCAGTCCTTCTCTCATGTCAGGTAGACCCTGGAGGTAGGAGGTTTCAGGTTTGCCCAGAGGTTTTGGAAGAACTTGGCCATGCAATTCCAGAAAATCGGCCTCTGGAGACCTCATCAAGCAGTTCCTCCCACATAAGGGCTCCCCAGGAGGAAGTCATAATGACCTTGATGGCATCAACTCAAACAGCAACAAGTGTGGTTTTCTTGTCTTTTTAAAATGTTATTGTTGTTGTATCATTGAGCTGGAACCAATTCGTGGCTCACCCTCCAGAGGATTTTCAGAGGCAGTAATCATGTGGGAGGACATTGCCTATCCTGCAGAGCAGGTGGCGGATTTGAACTGGGTGCTTTCGGGATTGCAGCACTGCTGGATTAGTTACATTACTTGCAACATTGGTGGTCTCTGGTAGAGCTCTCACCTTTCTTTGTGTGTGTGGGGAGGGGCCCAGGACCGGTTTCCAGTCAATGCACCTCAAGCAAGACCTTCTGTTGTTGGAGGGCCTGTGTATGGCTACGAAGCTGAACCAATTTCAAGGGTGCTTGGTGATCTGTCCCTGAAAACCAGACTCTAAAAACTGCGTGGGATAATTGTGCCCTGACACACACGTAGTCACAATAGACAGAAATCAAGGGCAGTGCATTTTGGTTCTCAGTGTATCTGCCTTGCTTTCTTGTTCTACAAGACCTTGGAAACAGAAATCATCTTGGCTTTTCCTTTTATATTGGTTTGCTCACGAAGTTTGTATATATTGTCTTCATTCATATTGGCTTTGCTTTTTGAGATGCTACCTGGTTAAGAACTCTCCTCACTCCTGTACCCCTTTATAGCTCTACTGTGATGTGCTATGGAGGTCAGTGTCATTCCCGTAAGCTGCTGCCCACAAGCAGCTTGTCCCTCAAGGAGAGTATCAGTGTACACGGTCTTCTCACTCCTGTGTTTTATTGATGCAGAAACGAGTAGGCAAGGAGCGGGTCACATAACTTTAGACTCCTTTGTTTTTTAAGGGATGAGAGCAGAGATTTGTTTTGCACTAGCCATCCATCAAACATCCTCTCCTAGTGTGCTTTTCAGGCACCTACGTGCATGGAAAACCAGCTGGGCACTCCCTCCTCTTCCAGCACCAGGTTCCAGATCTGTTGCTTGGTTTCTTAGGTCTGGTCCAGCCTGGCCCCTGATCTTCTCCTTCCTCTTAGGTCCTTTCCCACTTCCCTCTTTTGCTCTGTGCTCCTGCACTAGCCATTTCCAAGTGCTTGGGGCTCTCTGTTGTCGCTCTACCCTGTGACTACATCTCTCTCACACTTGGAACTCCTATGCCGCGGCCTCCTCCACTGCCTGCATCTCCTCTCCCTGCTGTACACTGGGAGGCCTCTGGACATTCCTGACTAGATGTGCACCTCTTTGGACATAGAAGCTTATTTGGGGACATCATTTATCAATGAAACAATTTCATCAATTGGTAAGTCACAGCAGACTGTGCCCCCAGTCTAATCTTTCAACACTTGCAACCCCAAATTCTTCTGAAGTATTAACTGTAGTTTGAGGGCACCTACGCACAGAGCTTGGGAGGAATGCCTTTTGAAAGTATGAAACAAAGAATTTGGTCATGAAAGAGGTGAGCTTTTGGTCTTCACGTTTACCAAAATCACTAGTAGTTATGAACTATAATGTGAAGCCAAAACAGTGTTTATATGAAAAGTGTATACTATTTGGTTCTTACTCTAATGACTGATGTCTAAAGAGTCATTCCTAGGTGTTGCAAAAGGTTAGGCATTGGGCTACTATCAGAAGGAAGAGAGATTGAACTCATCCAGAGGTTCCTTGGAGAAGATGCCTGGTGACCTCCGCTTGAAGGGCCATACCGTGAAAGCCCGTGGCTTTACCGGAGTCATAGTTGAGTTGATCATAGCTGGTTAGGGACACCTGTGAGGTTCATCTGATATCCAGCAAAGTAAGACACAGGTGGCAGTTTTTCAGTCTATAAATTCTGTGGGAGATGGTAGGGTGTTTGTATGGTTTCTAGTCAGTAGTTCAATGCCTTCAGAAATGTGAAAAGTCACATGTTGAGTGTGAGCATCGAATGCAAGCGCGGCGCGTGCTGCTAAAGTGATGTCCCACTGTGAGGATGAAGGGCCAGAGGCTCCAAGATGGTTGGAGAACCTCTGGCACTTGGATCTGGAAGTGATTCACAGGTGATTTTTCAAAGAGACAAGTACAAGGTAGCTGGTTTCTGGTTTGGTTTTTTTTCTCTCTCTCAGAGCAGCCATGCTCACGTTCTTGAATATGTGATGTTTCTACTTTAGAGAAACTCATCTGCCTTAAAGGACATGACTAAGTTTCACCTGATCCAAACCAAGGTCTCATTGGTCATTTCATATGCATACAAAAGCCAGGCAAGAAGACTGAATGAAGAAAAATGGAAGAACTGATGCTGTTAATTAATGGTGTTGGCAAAAAATAGTGACTATACCTTTAAAAGTGCCAGAAAAGTCCTTACAAGATCGGATGGTGAGGCTTCAGCTCACTTGCTTTGGCATATTGTTAGGAAGACCAATTGCTGAGTAAAGGCATCACGCCTGGTTAGCAAAAAAGGAGGAAGACCCTTCCTAACATGAACTGACACGTGACTCCAACAGTGGACTGACACGTCCAGGTCACCATGGGTCAATTTGATGGCAGCACCATCCCCAGCATCATGATAGGTCTGATCAGCAGAAGGAAGTGAGGAGGGTTGTCCAGGGACCTCTGCTGTTCTCCACGACATGACACTGCGCTTGTAGGCAGGGGCCTTGTTTGCATTTCTGGACTCCTCCAGGGTTGCTCCACTCTATTCCCATGACACAACTTGGCCTCACATTTCAGAAAGCTGGGAGAAGATCCTGCAGAAACACACATTCTCTTCTGAGAAGTTGAGGAAAGGAGCTCACAGGTGGTGGTGGTGGGGACTATTTTGTGAATTCATCTTGGCAGTGTGGACTTCCCCCAGAATGCTGCCATCAGACACCCCATTTGATGGGTCCCCAGGGAACATGTTCTAACCCGACTGTTATCTGCAGGCTCCTACTTTGCAAGGTTCCTACATACCCCGGGGTTCCTGGATGTGCCCTTGCTACTGTGTGCATGCTGCCAGGGACTCATACATTGGAGTCCTCGTGTTCCTGTCCTGCTGTGCAACTCTTCCAGGGAGGAAAGAGTCGTGATTTTGCTCTGCCTATCATTTCAGGTGATCTATGCCATTGCTCCTTACCAAAGTGAGAATGTTTCCAGGGCCTTTCTACTCCCTT